GGGCGACGCTGTCACCATCGCTGGCCCCTGCCACCCAGCACCCGGGGGCCCGTGCTCGCCTGGGGACAGCCATGCTGCCACGGGGAGGAGAGGCATCTTGCAGTGTGTCCCTACTCTCTGCTTTACGCTGGCTACTACAGAGAGCCGAGTTCGCGGCCCTGGCGAGGAAGCGAACCCCGTTACCTGTAGGGCTTTGCTCTCCCTCCACCCTACGGAGGGAAAAACCCTCCTGTCCTACTTCCAGCCCCGTTCCGTGGGGCATCAGAACAGTCAAAGACTCCCAGGGGTGAAGAGAAAAGGGAAAGGCAGGGTGTGCTTTTCAGAAAGTGCCAGGAGTCCAGAAACTGCGTCTCTGCCTGGGAGGTCTGAGAGCTCCTTTGACTCAAACTGCGTCCTCGGAGAAGTTCCCAGGCGGTGCTGCCGGGCTGAGCTGCCCCGCGCTCCCGCAGAAGCTGCAGGCTCCCTCCGTTTGCTCCTAGCTCTGTTGTTGCCTGTCTCACACCGACATTCAACCTGTCTGTTTTTCACCTGGTATACTACGTATTTTAGCCCATGGTCCAGCTCAGGTGAGTTGTGAAAGTGCAGTAAAGTCCTTCAGTGAGTGGCCGTGCCCTCACACCGCGGGCACTGCTCCAGCACGCTCGAGCCCCTCGTTGTTCTCCTGAGGTCCCGTGTAACCCAGGCCAGCGGTGCAGAACTGAGGGAACGGGCTGAACGCCCGGCGCTACCGACTGTGCCGCAGCCACCGGCCCAGGGCACCCCTGCGCTGCCGAGCCCGCGCAGGCTGATGCAGGGTTTTGCCTACTGAGAAGATAAGGAGGGCTTTTTTCAGCTCTGAAAGCTGTTTATTCTTTACAGCGTACTGACACCAGAACGGAAAGTGCCTTTTCCTGAAACTGGCTATTTATAAACAGCCTGCTGTGCCGAGCCTGCTCGTGCAGGGGGGCAGGGACTCCTGCAGCTTTTCTTTCGCTGTCTTGAATTCACCCAGAGATGCTCCAGCCAGGAGCGAACAGAGCGGATCCTGCTGACCATCTGCTGGGGCACACGACAGCACCGACAGCTTTTAATAACTCCTTGGAGTTACCAAACTCCAGTGAGTATCTAATTCAGCCCTGAACACTTTGGCTGTGCAGCCGGTGCTGTTCACAGCCCTGGATTCTTGCAAAGGCTTTGCAGGAGAAACTAGTCGTTTGTGGCAGCCATGCCTTCAGCGCATGAAGCACCTGTGCTTCTCCAAAGGGGATGATCCTTGCGGTGCATGGGCAGAAATCGGCAGCAGCATCTTTAACTGCATCTTCCCAAGCTGCTGAACAGTGCAGTTCGCTGCACGCACACGCTTGAGGTGGGATTTGTCTGCTCCGAGGTGTCTAAAACACAGCCTCCAAGTCCTAGCTAACTTTCTTTCCCCGTCAAAGGACAGAAATATGCACCTTCAGATCTCCTCTCCATGAGATGCCTTTCTTAGGATTTTAGCTGGTTTAACTGTGTAGAGACGCTGGGCAACACTCTGCCAAGGGGATGATCCTTGCGGCGCATGGGCAGAAATCGGCAGCAGCAGCTTTAACTGAATCTCCCCAAGCTGCTGAACAGTGCAGTTCGCTGCACGCACACGCTTGAGGTGGGATTTGTCTGCTCCGAGGTGTCTAAAACACAGCCTCCAAGTCCTAGCTAACTTTCTTTCCCCGTCAAAGGACAGAAATATGCACCTTCAGATCTCCTCTCCATGAGATGCCTTTCTTAGGATTTTAGCTGGTTTAACTGTGTAGAGACGCTGGGCAACACTCTGCCCACCTCCCCCCATCCCACTCCAGCAGGCCGGCGGCTCTGCGGGCAGTGCTGAGCTCCTCTTCCTCCAGGGACACCAGGATCCTCTTCTGAACCCCACCAGAAACTCCAAGGAAGCTAGGACTAGGGTTAATTATTCAAACTACTGCTCCTTCCCCGACGAGCTGTGCTCCCTTTGCAAACAAGGTTTGCTCTTGGCGCTGCTCGCAGCACAGCACCGCAGCATTTCCCAGATTTTCCCACCTGCAGTGAGGTGGCTTTCGGTTGTGGCTCGTAGTAGCCCGGCACAGCAGGCCGGTGTGCCTGGCAAAACAATACACAGGGCTTCGGCTGAGAACGAACGAATGAAATTAAACCCTCTGTCCCCTTC